AGGACAAAGAGGAGGAGCTAGTATCATCCTCACAACTAATTAACAACTAGTTAGGTCTTAATATTTAAGTATTTACTTTTATTTCAAATTAAAATGGTAATTGTGAGGGGAAATACAACGCCTTTTCTCCCTGGAAGGATAGAAGCAAGGCCTGTAATTAACTTTGGTTTGAATAGAGAGTTTGAAGCTGATGATGATGACGACGACGACGACGATGACGGAAAAAAAGTGGCACCTGCAGCGTAATTTCATAGCTATGTTGCTTTGAAACCATGAAGCCAGTCATAAGGGACAAGTTAATTAGCTCTTTAGGAGTTCTCCTTAGTCTTTCTATTAATTATTAAATAAATATAGTAGTGATGACAATGAGATAATATGTAGTGTTTTCTCAATTAGCAAGGTCAGGGTCGATTTAATAATAATTGTGTACTAATTTATAATGTGAGATATAAAATAATTTATGTAATATTAATAGAGTCAAATTCATCTATTAATCAATTTTCTATTCGTAGAGCATAGCATATCCATGCAAAAAAAAAATTACTATAATAGAAATATCAGGTATATTAGCCAAAACTTTTGAATTTATTATCTCTTTTTATTTATTTAGGAGTTAATTATATATCCAGAACTCAAATATTTCATATCAAAATTGAACAATGCTTTAAATTATACACCATCTGTTAATTAATTTTATGATTTAAGAAAAAAAATTAGGTCATCACCAGGGTCGGGGGTTATAATTTGATTCCTATCATATCTATTCGTTAAAAAAAAAGAAAAAAAAAAGATACAAAGTTAGAGGAGGACAAGGACCAAACCTCTAACAAAATAATCAACTACAAAAAATATTTTCAGAAAAAAGACAATAATGAAAAAAGAATGTCACGTTTCCTTATAGATTAAGTATAAATGTATGATTCACTTTTTATCCTTGTTGGTCCCACTTAATTTTAAGTATAGTACTCTAATACATTTATGAGGAAAGATAAAAGTGAGTTTACTTTTTTGAAGGGCAATTTGATAAAAATTCAAAAGTCTTCATTATTGCTTAAATTTCGTAGCCGGTCAAATGTCGTCACATAAAATGGAACAAAGGGAGTACTTATTTTAAAGGGCAACTTTCACATATATCAAATAAAAAATTTATATTTGTATGCTATAGCAAAGTTTGCATAATTGCGCTTCATAGCAAACATAGAAACTGTATAATTTGCTATACATATACAGTTGAAGCAAATTGTATAAAACGAAGTGTACAAAAAAAAGAGAAAGACACTTGGGCATAGAACTGTATAAAGACGAATTGTATTATTATAAGTGTATAGAACGATTATATACAATTTGAATTTGTATAAAATAAGAAAGAAAGAAAGAAAGACAAAAGAGACTTGACAAGAAATATACAATTGAATCGAACTGTATAAAATGAGAAAGAGAGAAATTAGATACAATTTGAAAATTGTATATACTTGCATGTGTATATACAATTTTCTCATGCTTTATACAAACAGAAACTTAATTTATATATTTCGCTTCTGTTTGTATAAGTGAGAAACGCGAGGGTGGCGAGCGAGATTTGGGAGAGTGGCGAGCGAGATCTGGAAGAGGGGAACAAAAAAATATGTATTTATACAATTTTTTCTGCTTTATACAATTAGAAACAATTTTTATACACTTGTGTTTGTATAAAAAGTGAGGAAGCAAGCGAGAGATTGGAGGAGAGTGGTGAGCGAGATATTTGGGAGAGAGGCGCCTGGCAAGTTTTTTGCAAACGTTTGCTATGGAGCACAATTAAATCAAACCCTAGCTACTCCATTTATTTTAGGTTATTAGTTTGTTATTATATACAATTGTCTCTATTTTAAATATTAGAAAAAAACAAATCAAAGTAAAAAGGAGGGAGGTAAAAACTAACTTATCAAAGAGTTGGGGGTTCAAATATGGTGATACATGTAGTGTAACGTTAGTTCATGTGTTTTTGTTATTAATAGGAATCGTTATTTATAAGCACTTTCTCTGTATCTAAATAAACATTTTACTTTTCTCTTTGATCTTTGTTACATGGAGTGTTTCTTTCTGTATTTGTGTTTTTCTAATTAGTACTCCTTTTGTATCCAATTTTTGTGTCAGAGTTACTATAATGTTTGACCTTGTATCAAATAGAATTCTCCAATTTAAGTTTTTTTAGTTTTTTCTTTCATCTATATTAAATATAGGGTCTCTTACTATGTTCAATTCTTTCTAAGTACTCTCCTTCTGTCTCCCATTTAAGTTATCTTATTTTTCTTTTTGATATGTATTAAATAGAGTGTATTTTTTCTATAAGTATTTCAATTTCAAGATTGTACATGACTAAATCATTTATAGGACTATACGCAATGTTAATTTAAAATTACAAAATTCAAAAAAATTCTGTTATTAACTAGTTTTGACCATATATTCTTATGTGGCAAACCAAAGAGTGTGCATGAAAGGGAATATGTATGTGTAGATCGTGAAAACCAAACATCTTCCATGAGGTTACCTCATGTCATTCCATTTCCTCAACAATTAATGTGTATGTGTCCACTAATCCACCCTCTCATCTTTTGTAATAACACTCTCATAATGTTAAAAGATTCAAATAACCACCTCATCGAAATGATTTTTAGCAACAATTATCAGTGATAATTTAATTTTAGCACTTTATAAGTGTTGCTTAAGGCCTATAACGACATTGAATCTAATAAAAATGTTGATATTATGGTTTTAGCACTCTTTGTTATGCATATTTATTAACGCTAAAAGCTGAGCATTAAAGATGCATGACAGACCGATAACTCTCTGTTAGGATCGAATTCACGCACACACACTTGATGAATGAAGAACACAAAAACTTTCAAGAGAAATAGATGAGAGATCTAGAGAGAGAAAGAGAAAACCCAATATTTTGTGGTAACACCCTGTGAGTAAACTTTCACGGCGATGAGGTATATTTATATTAATGAATCAGAGTATTTTTTGTTACAGAGAATAAATAGTCAAGCTTAAAATTATCAGGCTCCACAACCTAACACTCTCTTTAGAAAATAATGGGTCGATATTTTCTCCAAATCTCATTCATTCCATTGCTACAAATACTAGGACAAAGAGGAGGAGCTAGTATCACCCTCATCAGTCATCACTAATTAAGTATTAGAGTTTTATATCAAAATTTTTATTTAGTTCAAATTAAATTGGTGATTGTGAGCGAAAATAAATCGCCTTTTCTCCCTTCAATGTAGAAGCAAGGCCTATAATTAGCTTCTGTTTGAATACTATGTTGTTTTTTCTATTAGTCAATTTTCTATTCCTAGACCATATCAATGCAAACGATGAGTGTAAACGAATAATATTATATATTGTTTATTATCTTTTTCTTTTTCTCATTAAATCAGCAATATATATTTATATAACTCTTTTTATTTATTTTGAAGTTAATAATTATTTAGAATTCAAAATATTTCATATCAAAATTTACAAAAAAAAAATGTTTTAAATTATACAACACCTATTATTTAATCTACGTTTTTAAAAAAAAATATATCGTTAGAGTTGTGTGAACCCTTTGTGTGGGGGCCGGGTTGTATCAGAAAGTTGTTGGACTATAACAGATTTCGTATCAGATATGAATTTTATTTGGGCAAATTATAGAAATCACATACTTTTAAGGTAAAATTATAATTTAATCCTTAAAAATTTATAATTACAAAAAGTCCTCAAACGGATACAGTAATACAAGCGTTGATACATTAAAAAGAGGGTCGAATATATGCGCTGATACATTAAAAAAAGTGTGGAAACATTAATGTAGGGTTTGTATACATTAATGGACAAAAAAATAAAGTATTGATACATTAAAATTAAGAGGGTTGAATACATGCGCTGATACATTAAAAAGAGGATAAGATACATTAATGGATGATCGGATATGTTAATGAAATTTTTGAGTTAAGAGAAAAATGAGAGATTTTGGAGATTTGTAATACTTATAGGGAATAATGATAATAAATAAACTAAAAGGTGAACTTTCTATAATTAACCATTATAACGCTTTTAGGTGAAATTATCATGTTTATTATCCTATATATTTAGGGATGTTTATGGGACTGCTTGAGGCGCGGTTACTGGTCAAAGTTAAAATCAAACGGTTAGTTGTTATCGATTTTAATTTGGTATGGTTTGGTTCAGTTATTCGATTACTAATCATACACAACAATAAAAGAAACAATTCTTTCAAAAAGTGAAAAATCTGTTCAAAATGAAAAATAGTTAGAATGACTCACATTAGAAGAACTTTTGATATTCACTAAATTTTGCTAATGAATAAAGCTTCAATGTCACTATTTTAGCCTAGAAGGAAAGAGACAGTGTGACATATGATCGTCTCACAAAACATTGTCATAGACACCCGTACACATGAAACCAATAAGAGAAATGTTTTCACCTAATATTTTTGCTTTCATAAGTAAGTTACAAATAAATTCTGATGAAAACATATATATAGAGAGAGAGAGAATTATCAGTTCGGTTCGGTTATTTTATTTGAACTTTTTTCTAACATATTATATATATAGAAAGAGAGAATTGTTAGCTCGGTTGAGTTATTTTATTTGGATTTTTTCTAACATAACCATAACCAAACCAACCATGTACTATTGATTTTTGAAAAATCTAAAATCAAACCAAACAAAACCAAACCCAAAAAAATCAATTTATTTATTGGTTTGGTTCAATTTTATATATATATTGGTTTGGTTCAATTTTATATATATATATATATATATATATATATATATATAATGAACCTTGTATTTCTGATGTGGCAAATTAAAGAGTGTGCATGAAAGAGAAGAAGCATGTGTGGATTGTGAAAACCATGAGTTTACCTCATGTCATTCCATTCCTTCAACAATTTGTAGACGTCATCAATTCATTTTGCAAAAGCAAATCTCAAAAATTAAAGTAAAAAGATTCAATGCTTATAAGCAAAAAAAGATTCACTAATAAAGATGATAGATAGCTCTCAATGGAATTAATGAGTCGATATTTTCTACCAATGCCATGTTTCAATGCTATAAATAATAGGACAAGAGGAGCATAGCTACTATATATCAACATCCCTCATCACCTAGCTAATTACAACTAGGGTTTAATTTCCAAAATTCTCACTCTTACAAAATTTTGAACCTTTTTTTTTTTTAAAAAAAAAATGGTGATTGTGAGAGGAAACACATCGCGTTTTCATCCCTATGAGATAGAAGCAAGGCTTGTAATTAGCTTTTACTTGAACAGAGAGCTCGAGAATGATGTTGATGATGACGATGATGATGATGATGATGGAGCAAAAGTAGCACCTGCAGCATAATATGGTTTGACATGTTTTCTTTTGAAAACATGAAGCTCATTATATATAATATGGTTTGTGAAGGAGAAATTGGTGTCTAATTTTCTCCTTACAATAAATAGGAAACTAAACCCTAGCTATATATATATATGAGAATTTGTCTTCTTTTATTAGCCAAAAATATATATATAGTCTTCTTTTCCACCCTTTATATTAGCATTAGTACTTTTTTTTATCATTATTAATTGAAGCAATTATATATTTAGAATTAAGTTAAAATTGAACTATTTTTCCATTACACATCATCCTTAATAAATATGGTTGAATTTTGAGCATGGAAAATTGCTTCATATATTCCAAGAAATGAGGAACTTCAAACATTAAATTTAATCTCATATTTCAGAAATGAAGCTACATTTATGGACTACTTTAGATTCTCCTATTTTTGTTTCCTTTCTTACATATCCATTTGAAGAAAAAAAAATTTAAAAAAAAAGAAGAGATTATTAAAGGGTAATGAATCTATCTGAAGATGTAATTTTCGAGATTTTGACAAGACTACCTGTAATTTCTTTGATAAGGTTCAAATGCGTTTGCAAATTCTGGTATTCTCTCATCAAGAACCCTAATTTCATCTCAAACCATTTGCATAACCTAAATAACAAACAAAATCATCTCCATTTGCTAATTAGTCGCCGCGGAAATATTACAAATAAAAGGATCCTCTCATTGTCACAAAACGATACATTTGATGTTTTCATCAATCAAGATTTTCCAGAATACTTCAATGACAAATTTGGTCACATAAGACTTATAGGTCCATGTAACGGCATTGTTTGTTTATGTGGTTATCCAGATAACATTGTTCTATGGAATCCATCAATTAGAGACTACAAAATACTACCTCAATCACAAATTCAACGTCTTGTTGGGTCAACAATACGTGGGAGTGATTTTGGATTAGGGTTTGATTCGAAGAAAAATGATTATAAGGTAATACAAATTTTATTTTGTCTAACGATTGATCGTGTTTTTGTTTATCAAGTTGAGATATACTCTTTGAATACAAATTCGTGGAGGAAGTATAAAGGGGTTGTACCATCTAAAATAAAGTATGGTAATACTTCATGGAGTATGGTGTATAAAAATGAGATTTTTTGTTGGTTAGGTCAAGATGTTGATAATCATGAGGTGATACTTTCATTTAACATGAGTGAAGAGATTTTTCAGAATATTAAGTTACCATCAAATATTGAAATTTTTGGAGTGCAAGAAATTATGAGGAGTGTTTGGGTGATTGTACCATTTAAAGAATCAATTTCACTTATTGTTTATTGTTTAAAAGAAGTGGAGAAGTATTATGATGTATGGGTGATAAATAATGAATTGGGAGTTGAAAATTGTTGGACTAAATTGCAAAGAATTGGTCCTATTTCTAGGGTGGAAAGGCCTTTAGGGCTTTGGAAAAATGGTGAGCTGATTTTGGAAAATAGCTCTGGACAATTAGTGATTTATGATCCTTCAAATCAAGAAATGAAGACACTTGGATTTTATGGGAAAAGAGGCAGGTTGGAAATAGTTGTTTATAAGGAGAGTTTAGTTTCGATATCGTAGACATACTGGGTATACTGTTGATATTGCTTCTATGTGAATAGCAGAGGAGACAAATTTGAAAATGAAACTAGTGTTAATTCATGTATATATGTAGATGTTTTTCTGCTGTATGTATGTGTGTATGGTTCGAGATGAAAGGAATGGATTTAAACGCAGATCCTATTCAGTTTGAAACAATAGTATATATTTTTCGAACCCTTAGAAGTTGATATGAAACTAATTTCTTCTTGTACATAAATATGAGTCCGGAGACGAAAAGGAAAAAAAAAAAGAGTGAAATTTCCAAAAGAGCTACAAAAACAAGTTTGAAACCAAAAATAACATTTAAACAGGAGGGAGATGAGAAGGGCATATTTTGACAACTTTTTCTTTCAAAACATGCATTTCTTTGTTCTATTTATGAACAGTCAAATGCTCAGACTATAGTCGAGAGCCTTCGAGACATTCAGATTTCGTATCGTACAACAAAAAAAATACAGCATTCATCTATCTTCCCTTTGATGTAGCAAAATCCCATTTTGATTCCCTACAGCATACATACAACACCCTATATGTTTACTTACTTTACCTTCTTGGAGTGTAACAAAAATGGGAAGATTCTTGCTGTTGCTTCTGTGAAAAGAAAAAAAAAACCTCTGTTGATTGTGTGGAAAAATCTGTCTTAAGCCTCTGATTCAATAAGGTCCATTTCCACGTTTCCGCTTAGAATGACCTCTTTGCATGGTTCCTCTATGCGCAGACGATCCCTGTTCAGATACAGAGCTTTGAGCAAATTTAATCCAATAAAACAAGTATATTATACATATGATAATTTGATGATTGATACCAATTTGTCTTACCTTTGATACATGAATGCCACCTCCTCTTTGCTGATGCATATTGGGGTGTTGATGCCGGATGTTAGGATTCATATCCATTCTGTTATTCCACCCAGGATCAGACTGACCAATCTCAGTAGCACCAACCATTGTAGTAAGTGAGTCCACAGGCTCATGCGGCAATGATATTCCTGACATCCCATTGTACGACAAGATGCAACCCATTGCATTTATAGAGGCTGCAAGAACCTCAGGAAGAACTTTTCCAGGATGTGTGACCTGTAATAACATTCACTTGCACATTAGACCAACCAAAAGCCACATATGTCAGTACTATCTTGACATAGCAACAGAATGATACCCTAATTACTTTGCGTTGTTTTTCTTTCTTTTCTTCTCATTTTGCTTGGAGGAGGGCGTAGGAAAGGTTCTCTCTTTAAAACAATGTAGAACAGAAAAATTACCTTAAATAAAATTGCTGCAGCTAACCTCTCTCTCAAGCAGTAAATTTGAGCAACATCAAGAGCTGTTGACTCAAAAGGGATCCATCTATCAACAATGACCTTAACTGTATTATCAGGTGAAGACATAATTTTCTCTCCTTGATGGGCTTCTGACAGATCTGCTTTAATATTACCTTCCTCACCATTGTCCTCATCAGCATCTTCGTAATCACTTTCGTCATCATCATTGTCATCATCATCATCTTCATTTCCAGGAGCCACTACAATCTCTGTTGCCAGCAATAACAGTGGGAGTGGCCCAATGACACTACAATTCCTTATAAGCAGACCTCCATCACCACGAGTTATCTCATCATATGCAATTAGTGGTTGATCATAGAATTTTTGGAATGAAAGCTTGAAGTTAGTAGAATGAGGGCTTAATCGAACTTTATCACCACCTGCAGTCTCAATGACAGATTTCTTGTTATTTTTCAAAGGCGGGAGCAGTCTTCCAACCATAGGGTACAAACCAGCAACAAGAACAGCATGTAGTATGCCTGGATCCTGTGCGTTAAGGTTACAGGAAGATCCATCTCCGGGAATAAACCCATTCCTCAACAGTTCAGATGCAAGTTGTTTACGCATTCCTGATAGCATATGCATAGTGCCTGAAGATAAAAAGTACTTAGAACAAAACCTCGATTCTTGACCAGTTTCTTTCGCACTTTTCCAGCCCTCAAATGCAGCCACAACTGCTAATTGATCACTTCTTCCACCATACCATGAGGCTAACTCAGCTTTTGCAGCTGCAGCTTTCTTCTTCTCATTTGGCAACATGGGTAGGGTAAATGGATCTCTATAGTCAGAAGCACAAGCCATAGTCAATGCTGGGTCAAGGCAGTTCAATAAGATGGAAATTAAAAGCATCTTGCTTGTAAGCGGATGAACTGGTAAAGATCCTAGCCTTTCTCCAAGCTCTGTAAGTTTCTCATCAAATGACAACGCCCCAATATCTTGAAGAACAATGATTGCATTACGTATGGTCTCATAAACCGGAGGGTCAAGTGTCTTCTGCAGGAATTCTTCTATCTTGCAATCAGGGTTAAGAAGCTTGACCTGCCAAAGAAAAGGCATTTAAACTGCTTACAGCAAGCTCTTTTGTTAAATAGTTTACATTCACAGTGAGTAGATTTCTTTAACAAAACTAGAATAATTTTCAAAAGCCTACTGAATTACTTTTTATTTTCATTATTACAAATTTCTTCACCTCCTTCCAACCCTAGTTAATGTTTTCAACTACCAACAAGAAGCTTAATATATTTCACCTAATCATCTTTTTTATTTGAACTGGTAAAAGTTATTTCACCTAATTGTCATGCAAAGTATTTCTAGTATAAAAATCATATTCCCAAATGACAAGGAAGAATAATGAAGCACCTGAAGACATAGTTCCTCTATAGGAATCCTCTTAATCTCAGGAACCTGGAAATCAGGCAATGAAGCTGCTCGAAGTTTTGAATAAAGATGATAACAAATCCCTGGCTGGCACCGCCCAGCACGCCCTTCTCTTTGCTTTGCACTTGCTTTTGAGACCCATGAAGATTGAAGAGTTGATACATTATTATAAGGGTCATAACTTTTTTCTTTCATTCGTCCACTGTCGATTACATAAACAACATCATCAATGGTAATGGCAGTTTCAGCAATATTAGTTGAAAGAACGATTTTGCGGCAGCCTGGAGGAGGGTGTCTAAAAACCTTCTTTTGCTCCACAGAAGGAACCATAGAATGGAGAGGGATCACTGAAAACTTAGACTGATCATTGAAATAGTGGCTTGCTCTCAATCTCTCTCGTGTTCTGTTAATGTCCTCCCAACCAGGAAGGAAAACAAGGATGGCCCCGTCCTCCGAGTCTATGCATATTTTTTTTAATAGTTGCTCAATAAGGACATCATCAATCAGTTCAGGGTCAACTGTTGATAGGTATTTGTCAAGTAAATGTTGCTGCTCCTCACAACTGGAAGATGATTTCTCCATGTGTTCCTTAATTATTTCAACAACTTGTGTCTGATTCTCCTGCTCAGCCCAATCTAGAGCAGTTTTCCCATCATTAGCACGTAAATGGCAGTCAGCACCAAAAGAAAGGAGCATGCAAATGTCACCAACGCGGCCTTTTCCAGCTAACACCATCAATGGCGTCACTCCACTCAAAGAATGCTGATAATTGAAAATCTTTGGTCCCCCTTCAGAAGATATTAGATCCAAAAGGGGATCCAGATCATCATCTGAAAAAGCCAGATTAATTGCTTCATCTAAGGCAACTTTGTACTCCTCTGTTAATATTGATTCCTCAGGCATGACAGTGGATGAGGTGGAGTCAAGGTGATTATTTTTAGTTGACTTTACAATAGAAAGTACATCCTCAAGATAGAATGTTTTTACCTGGCATAGGTGTAGAGGCGTGTAAATACTTCAAAAACTCACATCATAAATCAACAAAGAGAGAAATCAACATAGAAACTAGGAGAAAGGTTTTACAGGATAAGTAAATCCAGGGACTCGGATAACTGGGCAGCCACCAAAGTATTTTGAAAAACGTTCAGCATCCAGTGTAGCACTCATCAGAACCTGTTTGGAGGTCCATTCAATTGATTATATCATAAAACCACATACATATTACTGGAATAAAAACAAGAAAAAGAGATACTGTTTTACTACAATACAAAAGCAAAATGAGAAGTCTTACCAAACGCAAATTTGGATATGAAGGAAGCAAGTCCCTACAAAGTAAAGAAAGATCAACTTGAACATTTGCTGTTTCAGTGGTTTAAATTAAAAGAAATTTAGTGACACCTTTTTATGTTTTCTTGAATGAAAATGACAAGCTAATTTCTATAATCCAGACAGGTTTGCACAAGTAAGCTACAGAAAGGAGGTTAATTGACGTGGCCAGTTGGCAAGCCAAAAATTAGCACATTATAATCCCAACTCCCGTCAGAAAGATCATTCATGACGGATAAAATTATAATCCACGTATCTATGTAACTAATAAAATAGATTAAACCAATGCACCTGAGAATAGCGAGCATGAAATCGGAGTAGCGATCCCTCTCATGAATTTCATCCTGTGAAATTTGAAGTTTTTTAGGCATTAAAAAACAAAGAAGAAGCACAGCTGAGAATGTGTGTCAAATTAGAAAATATAAGCATCACTACAAGCAGAAGTAAAGAAGGATTAACATGACAAATGAACTATGCAAGAAACCAAACACCACCCAGATTGAAGCCAGACTTGTGAGATACAAACATAAATCAAAGAACCAAGTAAAAAAGTAAATAAATGATGATAACAAAATATATTGTTGCAGAGAACTGTGATAGAAGGAAAAAGAAGAAAGAGAAATATGAACATCATAACTTCAGAAGGAACACACCAGAAACAGACAAGAGAGGGAAGAAACAAAAATATTTACTCCCACAAATCTAAAACTTGCACTTGGATTACGGTTTTCTACATGTAATCTTGAGTAATATTCAGGATATGATTCAATTCACAATGACACATTGCAAAAGGAGAATTGCTAAATTTGACCATTCAGACTTTCTCTGAGTATAAAAGGCTCTGTTAGAAACCAAACACTCAAGTAACTCATTAATGTCATTGATCTATACATCTATCAATAATTATCTAGGAACTTGTGATTTTTGCCTCAAAATTATCTCGAAAAATACTGCAAATATTAGGAGTCTTCACATTACCCTAAAAGAAAGTTATGGTTTTGGGGATAGAAACAAAGGAAGAGTCTCGCATTTAGATTTAGCAAAAGCTTGAGTTGGTGGTAGTTAGCTCGAGTTCCCCCAAGAAGGAGAACACTTAGTGACCTTCCGTAGTTAGTTGTCTAAGACTCACATTGATAGTTAAGTCCTTAGTAAGGGTGATAAACAGGTAAAGGTCTATCCTGAGTGAGAATCTTACAGGGGCGGCTCAACATAATTGGGGGTCTAAAGCAAAATTTCAGTTCGCAGCCTAATATATAATATACTTTACATACGTATTTATTCAAAAAAATTTTTTTTTTACCACTATTTAGATGGAAATTATTAGTACTTAATATTGTTTTTCAGTTATTAGTTATAGGCAAGATTTTATTAACACAACATTGAAAAACATCCTTTAAGTGATGCAATTATTATATGTATTGTTAACATAGTGCTATAAGTAGTAAGTTTATTAATATTAAATAAAGATAAGAGTAAGAACCATGAATTTGACGCAAGAAGTTGATGACTTGGTATACCTCCTTTTAATATGCTTTTACTCTAGTAATGCTTGAAACTAAAATTTAAAAAGAAATAAAAAAGAATTTGT